TATTTACATCAGAAATAATGAATGTATTTGATAATCTCACCTCGTGTTGTTATAAAAACCAATCCATTCATTTTCAAGTAAAAAATCGAAACTATAATAAACCTTTTCAATAATGTCAACGCAAATAACACAAATTTATATACTTTTACCACTGAATTCTGTTATGGATTATTGATTGGAGCTTTTTGCTTCATTATAACACTTAAAAAAAAACCACATCTATAACATAGATCAAATTGATAAAATAGTTAATAGAATAAATTAAAATCAACGGTGACCAAAAATATTACTCAGAGGATATCAAAAAACTGTGGAAAGATTTTAAACAATTATAAGACTGAGGAAGATCAATGTCTTCATTTAATAAAATGGTAATTGAAATTTGTAATTACCTGGAAGAGTAAAGGAATCGCTGCACCCGTCATAAAAAACTTCTACCAATGAAAACTAACCCTAGAAAATCAACTATAAAAGCAATTCAGGAATTGGTTGATAAAGAATAAGGTGATGGAGTAAAGAAATGACGATGATATTAATATTAATATTATTGACAATAATAATAATATAATAATCATCAATGAGAGTATTTTCATCCCCATACAATTGCTCTGGTTGTTTTTTACTTATATTTTAATATATAATTGTGTTATCTTTTCATTATTGTTTGATCCTTTCCATCTTTGTCTCCATATATTGTGTCATATCTGTATGTAATACATTTGATGTTCCAAGTTTCCAAGATTTACTATCTCACACCACCTTTGACCAAAATTTTTTCCTGTATTTTCAATAGCTTTTTTAATTAATAAACTAGAGGATAATCAAATGATTGAAACTGCATGTCAATCACAATATGTGCTATTATTATTATTTACTGTCTACTATTATTATTAAAAAATAATCATCATTGTCTTTTATTCGTATTTGTTTTTAATAACTTCTGAATTGTTGTCAGATTGTAATCTTAAATATCATAACCTACAATGGTTCTTTGTGTCGATAATGGAGAATGGCAATCTGAAAGAATGAACTAATGAGTGATTTAGGCAATCATTATTTTTAAATTTATGATATTAAATCTGTGTATATCTAATCAAATATATTATTAGCATTAAAATATAAACATAGTAATTGTTTCTTCAGATAAAGAATGTCAAGGATGTTTTTTATGCTTATTCCAATCATATATATATTAATGCTATTTTAGATAGTACTAGTAAACTCTTTCTGATAATTATTGAGGTAAAAATTGTGACATGTCCCCAAATATTCACATAAGTTATCTACATTTCATAAATCATTTGATTATCCTCTAGTTTATTAATTAAAAAAGCTATT